GCACTTTATGTATGTTATCTATTTACCCCTCCCAACATCCCTTTGAGGAAGCTACTATTATTATCCCCATTTTACAGGCGAGGAACGTGATGCTCAGAGGGGTTAAGTAGTTTGTCCAACGCCTCACAGCAGGTGAGGCTGGGATAGAACTCCATTATTTCTTGCTCTTAGCTACCATATTTTACTGCCCCCAAAGTGAGGTGGCTCAGAACTGGATCTGTTACAAGAACAGGGAGTGTTCTTGAAGATCTGGGTGACATGGTTGATGACCAGCTGGGTAAAAGCAGTCACGTACTGCTCTCTTAGCAAAAAAGAAAGGAAAGTCTGCATGACCAAAGGATGTATTAGCAAAGGGAGCAGGACACTCACACCTGGCAAGCTACCTTCTCTGGACTCCACTTCCACCAGGTCTAATCAAGGATGGGTGGAGGACAGTTGTTATGAGGGACTCTGGCCTGGACTTCCTGGGCTGCATCCCAGCTCTGCCTCTCACCAGCTGTGTAGACCTGGGCAAGTTACTTGACCTTTCTGGGCTTTCATTTCTTCATCTGTAAGATGGGATGCTTATAGGCTTGTAAAGATCAGATAAGTTAATTCATGGAAAGGGCTTGGAATACCACCTGGCACCTGGTAAATGACTGCCATTGTCACTGATGAGATCTCAGATCCAGTTTGGTCCTTCAGCCCTGTGATTCTGTTGTGTGGGCCCTCACAGCCCAGTGCCTGTCCTACAGGCCCTAGCTCTGACCCTCCTGTGTTCACACTAGCTCCCCCTTATTCCCCAGGAGATCCTGCTGGGTCGTGGCTTCACCTTTTGGCAGTGGTTTGATGGTGTCCTGGACCTCACCAAGCGCTGTCTCCGGAGCTACTGGTCAGATCGGTGAGTCCCTGCCCCAGTGGCCTGAGCAGTTGTACCTCTAGCTCCTTCTCCACAGCCAATGCCCCTACCCCCATCCTCTCCTTCATCCTGGCCAGGCTGATCATTGGCTTCATCAGCAAACAGTACGTCACTAGCCTTCTTCTCAACGAGCCTGATGGAACATTCCTCCTTCGCTTCAGCGACTCAGAGATTGGGGGCATCACCATTGCCCATGTCATCCGGGGCCAGGATGGTGAGGTCACCCCAGCCAGTCCTCTGTTTCTGTGCCTGTGCCCTCTGGGGTTTCTTCTGGGAAGGAAATGTCTTGGCCTTCCTTGATGCCAAGCCTGATCTTCAGGAAGTTCTTCCTTAGGTCCAACTTCTCTCCTCCCTTCTGCAGTCTACCTTCTCATTGTGAGCTCTGTAGTAACAGAGACTGGTGGGTCTCCCTCCTCCAGCACTCTCACCCTCACCTTGGTAGATTGAGAGTGGGTCCTCTGGTGGGACTGGATCAGGGGGAGAATGTCTGGACGGAGGGGACTCATGGTCTCATTCCTATTGTAGGCTCCCCACAGATAGAGAACATCCAGCCATTCTCTGCCAAAGACCTATCCATTCGTTCACTGGGAGACCGAATCCGGGACCTTGCTCAGCTCAAAAACCTCTACCCCAAGAAACCCAAGGATGAAGCCTTCCGGAGCCACTACAAGCGTGAGCTGGAGCTCGCAGTTCTGAACCCTTCCTTTGCCCATCTCTTCCATACTCCCAGTTGCCCCTCTCCCTACACACTGTATGTCATCCCTGACTTCTCTCTCCATTTTTGAAGCCCATTCTCCTACTTGCCCATCAGCTATGCTCACCTTTTGCACGTCCCTTCCTCCCCAATCCTGGGGCACTCCATGGCTCTCCTTTCCTCCCCAAAACAGCTGAACAGATGGGTAAGGACGGCAGGGGTTACGTCCCAGCTACCATCAAGATGACTGTGGAAAGGTGAGTGTGGCGCTGTGGACAGTGGGCAGGCCTGGTACTACTTGCTGGAAGAAGCGGTGGCATCAGCCCTTGGTCAGTCACACGGACCTCCTTCCCTCCTCCAGGGACCAGCCACTTCCTACCCTGGAGCCCCAAATGCCTACCATGGTGCCCACTTATGATCTTGGAATGGCCGCTGATTCCTCCATGAATATGCAGCTCAGCCCAGACATGGTGTAAGGAGCTTGAGAGACAGGAATGGGAGTGGTCTGTGCAGACAGGTGTTTAGCACGGGCAGCTGGGAAAGCTGGGGCCGAAGTAGGGAATTTCCCTTTCCACGAGAGGGGTTCCCTATCTTGAGGCAGGAGGTGGGGGTGTCCAGGAGAACGGCTGGCGTCAGGGGGGTCTGCTTTCTCTCCCCAGGTCCCAGGTGTACCCACCGCACTCTCACTCCATCCCCCCGTACCAAGCCCTCTCCCGGGAAGATGCGTTGACAGCTTTCCCAGAGTAAGTGGAAGGGACAAGGATACCCACCTGCAAAGGGGATGGGCATTTGCATTTGTTAGGAGAGGCTCCACCATAAGAAAGGGGCAGCAAAAGGCTAGCACTCTTTTGTCTCTTCTGTCCACTCCACTGAGAGGTTAGTGGTTAAGTTCCAGACTTAGCCAGGTTCAAATTCCAGCTCTGCCACTTACTGACTTTGGGCAAGTTGCTTCATTCTGGTGCCTCATCTGTAGAATGGGGAATATTGATAATAACGCTAATAATAACTTCCTCAGGGGATTATTGTGAAGGTTAATTGAGTTAGTAATACCTGCAAAGCTCATAGCAGGAGCTATGTTAAGAATTAATATTACCTCGCCTGCCCTTGAAATCCACTGTCATAAATTTATCTGTTGTCTGGATTTTTATTTATTCATCTGTTTTGGCCTTGAAGTGGCCTAGACATTTTTCTTCCCCAAGTAACACTCATATAATAACTGCAGGTGCTTATTAACTCTTAGACAAGCCACAACATCTCCCCTCCCGGGAGTTGAGGTAGGGTGGAGACTGGGGAGGCTTAGAACCACCAGAGTCTGGAGAAACATTAGAAATTAGCGAATTCAGGGGTGCCTGGGTGGCTCAGTGGGTTAAGCATCCAACACTTGGCACAAGACCCCCCTCCCCAACTTCAGCAGTTGTATTGTCATCCTCCTGCTTAGCACTTAGCAGGGATTCTGCTTCTCTCCCCCTCCCTCTGCTCCTCCCCCTCCCAAATAAATAAAGAGATTAGCTAGTTCAGCCCTTCTCTACTGCCCCAGCCCAATCCCCAACACATACACATTTTATAGATGAGAAGACTGAGCCCACGGCTTACCCAAGACTATGCAGTCAGGGAAAGGAGCTGGAAATTGTTTCCTCATTCAATGACCTTGACTTTGCAACACTGTGCCCTTGTTTAGCCTTCCTTTCTCTGACTGTACCCTCCTTCCTGTTTCCAGATCTCACCTGCAGATACCCCCCAACCTGAACCAGATCAACCTGCCCTTTGACCAACCTCACCCTCAGTGAGTGACAGCACCCCTCCTGATCCCATGCTCCCCATTCATTCCCAGCCTTATCGCACCCCAGTCTTATGGACTTTTCTGGTCTTGGCAGGGGCCTGCTCCCATGCCCATCTCAGGAGCATGCTGTATCCACTCCTGAGCCCCTGCTCTGCTCAGATGTGACCATGGCAGAAGACAGCTGCATGAGCCAGTCGGTGGGAGGGTTCCCTCAGGGCACCTGGTGAGTGGCAGCCTGGGGGTGTTGGCTGGGCGGGGGCTGGAGGAGTGGGTGCCATACCTACTCTACTGCTTCTCCCCTTCCTCCTTGCAGGGTTGGTGAAGACATGTTCCCACCCTTGTTGCCTCCTACTGAACAGGACCTCACCAAGCTTCTCCTGGAGGGGCAAGGGGAATCAGGGGGAGGGTCCTTGGGCACCCAGCCTCTCTTGCAACCCTCTCACTATGGGCAGTCTGGGATCTCACTGTCCCACCTGGACCTAAGGGCCAACCCTAGTTGGTGATCCAGATGGAAGGGGAGCCCAGAAAGACCGCTATTCTACCCCCACGGACCTGCTCTGGACACCTGCCCATGCTCCTGCCAAGCAGCAGATGGGGAGAGTGTCCTCCTATCCCCACCTACTCCCTGGTCAGGAGGAAAAGACTGCCAGGAAAATGCACAGTGGGTGGAGCCTATCCACTCCTTTCCTCCTACCACACACCCCTGTCCTCCCCCTTCCAATGCTGGAAGGGAAATTCAGGTTCCAAAGTGAGACACGCCCCAACACGCCTGCACATGCAGCACACACACACACACACACACACAGCTCTCCCTGGAAGATGGGCCTGAGCAGGAAAGGGGCTCGGCAAGAGCACAGCTTAGGGCACGGAGGACTTAACCGCCCACCTCGAGCCAGAGCCCAGGACACACATGTAGAAATACGCAGACACACGCACACATTTGTACAAGAGGCTGGGGACTGAGGGCTGGGCTCGGGTCCCAGCCCTGGGGGGATGGAACAGCAGTTCAGGAGGCCCTGGGTGCGACGTGGGGAATCTGTACACCTGGGTTACTGATGTGGGTTATGCCCAGATTAAAAAACAAATTTCAAACAGCCCCAAATTCCTGTCCGTCGGATGGCGGCTCTTGGTTATGTGTAGACTACAGAAGTACAAGGTCTGTTTCGTGTGCAGCTGTGCGAAAATGTGCCTACCCGAGACGTGTGACTATCCAGACGTCACACACATTCGTTGTTATGGCCCCCCAAAAACATGTATCCATCTGATCTTGCCTACGTGACAACCGAAGTTTGGAAGTATGAAAACACCGTACCAAAGACACCAGCGAATGTGCCAACTTCTCTGATGCATGCTAACCCCAAAGTACTCAGCTTTCGTATGACCGTGGCCCCAGTGGGTCTGTGTGGCTGTGACCTCTGTATGTGGCTCTAGCTTTGGTGGCTCAACCCCGCCAATCCTGCCCAGAGGCCGGGGGTGAGTCTGGGACCCAGGCCCAGGTGTGTGGTCCTCTGAGTGAATTAGGGGGCCTGACCTGCTGCTGCTTTTCTCTTTCCCCATCCACTGCCGGCTTCCCTCCACTCCCCCAGCCCCATGCCACCCTTTCTCCCTCCTGGGGGTCATCGATCCTAAGCCATAAAATAAATTTTATTCCAAAATAACAAAATAAATAATCTACTGTACACGATCTGAAAAGAAAGACGCTCTAACTGCTCAGACAGGTGCTGCGGTCCAGCCCCCAGCCGAGGGAGACCCTGAGTCCGACCCAGGCCTCCTGATGGGCCGGTCGAGGGGACCCCACATCCACCCTCCCCCCCACCCCCAGAGAGGGCAGGAGGGAAAAAGTTGCTGAGGACTTGGGGGGAAAGATGGGGATAGGTGGGCAAACTGCAGCACTTGTTAAATTAAAGAAACAAACTAGAAGCACAAAAATGGGGGAGCAGAGGGGAGGAGCAGGTCCAGTGTTCCCAGGCCCCCAGTTCTGGGGGGAAACGTTGCCATTTTTAGCTGTTGGACCTTACCAGGGAAGTCCCCTTTTCCCCCATGTCCAAACTGAATCCAACTGCTTATACCACTGATTCAAGCTACAGAGAATGGGAGTGTGTTGTGTAAGGGAGGGGGAAACCCCAAATACCCTGGAGACAGAGTCCTTGCCCCCTTGCTCTAGGCAAGGGTGAAGGGGCACCACGCACCCTCCTTGTGTCCTCTTGCCAGGCCCCTGCTCGTTATTGCTTGAAGCCCCATAGTTCTACGCCCATGGAGCAGGTGGGGAGGCAGGAGAAGGGCAGCGGGAGGATCCAGGGTTGTGACTAGATGCCAGGGATGGGGAATGTCAGAGTCTATGTGAGCCAGAAGTCCAAGTCCTGGGTCTGAGGACACCAGTGCACCCCTCACTGCCGGCTGGCCTCAGCCTCCACTTTGACACTGCTCCTGCGACCTTCCACCAGAGCAGGATGGGGTCCCGGGGCCGGGCATCGGTCCAGTAGCCCTTCCTCGAACTCTGTGGGGAGAAGGCGGAGGTTAGGAGGCCGTGGGGTGGCCGATGCAGAGAGGTGGCCGGACAGGAGGCAGAGGTAGAGAAGACTGCACAGATGAGCTGGATTTGAATTGCTGCCTCCTGCCCGCTACATGTTTACAGGTGTGTCGGGGGGGAGGGGTTCCATACCCAAGTGTGTATGCCCCCCCTCCCCCTTCTGGCTGTGTGTAGCGCTCTCTCTGTATATGTCTCTCTCCTTCTCTGTCTCTCCCGCCTCCGTTCTGCTGGAATTTCTGGTTCTGTCAGGAGCTGTGGGGGTGGCTTGGCTCTGACCTCTCCCCCTCCCCCCCTTCCCAGACTCTGCCGCCCCCACTCATCCCTGGCCCCCTCCCAGGCCCCACCTACCCTACCATGCCCCTCCAGTTTCTTAGAAGCCAAATCAGGGGGAACACAGGAAGCCAGCCTCCCAGCTCCTCCCCCAAGAAGAGCCCCCCCTTCCAGTCCCCACCCCCACTTCCCACCCACGCACAGTTTAAAAATACCAAGCCAGGGTTGGTGGCTTTGTCTGCTGCATCACTCTCAGCCCAGCCGCTCTGGCCCTCTGGCGGACTATGCCCTTCCCCCATCCACACACAAAGCATCCCCCTTTGGGCTCCTCTACTTCCCAGCTACGCAACCCCACCCTGACTCCTAGCCTACCCGACCCTTCTGCCTTGGTGGCAGCTCTATCCCTGTTGCCCTTCTTGGTGACCCTCGTTCCCATTCCCCTGGTCCCCCATTCTCTGTCCCCTTGTTCACCGCAGCGCCCCCTCATAGATCTCCATTAGGATCAGACCCTCCCCAGTGGGAATAAACCTGCAGGACCCTCCTTTCCTCAACCCAAGGCCTGGATGGCTGGAGCCCCACCGTCCTACCGCCTGCCCTCTCCGGTGACTACATCCCTCTTCCTCCCCCCGGGCCCCAGGACACCAGGATTGCTGGGTGGGGCCTGGGTGGCAGGGGTGCTTGGGGACGCCACTGCTGCTGCCTCACCTGCGAGAGGCGGCTTCGCAGGCACACAGGGGCTGAGGCGGCCCACGCGGTCGTGGGAGACGAGGCGGGCTAGCCGCAGCCCCTCGTCCATCAGTGTCTGCTGCAGGATGTGGCGGCTCCACAGCCCATGGGCTGGCAACGCCAGAGGCAGGTCAGCAGGGGGCGGCGTCAGCCTTGGGCATGACCCCACAGCTGTGGGCATGGGCATGGATCAGATCAGGGGCTACAGTCAACGGAACCCCCACCCTCAACCACAAAGCAGACCCGTAAGGCCCAGGCCCCTTTGCCCCCATCCAGCCAGGCCTCCCAACCCTGTTCCAGGCACTTGCCTCCTGGCTCCTTCCTCCCACCTACTCCACCCCCACAGCGAGAAGAAAAGTATTCTGATGCACACTCACCCTGCAAGTGTCCATCAAGACTCTCCCCAGACAGGCTGGCGCTGTCTTCCTCCAGGCTGGGGCGGTATGGGGGTGCATAGGACTCAGGGCCTGGGGGAGGCTGCTGGAGTTCAGAATGACTTTGCTCTCCAACCTGTGGATGCCCCAAATGGGGAAATGAGGACCTAGCAAGGGAGGGGGTTGAGAGAGGCTGCACTAATCCCCTGCATCCACCCTAGAAACCTACCTCCTGTTTTAACTTCTTCAGTGGAGGGCCTCCCAGTTCCTCGGGGTGAAGCCTGCGAAGATGAGAGCAGTAAGGAAGGTGAAGCTGGGGAGGGATGCACGACGGGCAGAGCACAGAATCTGGGGAGGAGCTATGCATTATTTCAAGACTAGAAAGAAGCTGGCTGAACAGGAATCTCTAACTCTGGTACTGTTGTTGTGGGTGAGCAGACAGAACCTGAGATGGATAGGAGGAGGGACCAGACCCAGACAAGTGAGCCTGGCGAAAAGCAGGACATGCACGTGGGTAGGAAGCAAGCCTAGATGCACCTGAACGGAAGATTACGCCCATGACCCAGCTCCTTGGCAGGATTCTAATCTAGGAAGGACCTGGAGAAAGGAGTCTCACCTGGAGCCCTTCAAGGAGGACAGGTAGGTGCTCTCTCGGGCCACTTGGCGTGACAGGGAAAAGAGCTCCACCCTCCGCAGTAAGAGCGTGTTGTCCCTCATGCAGAACTGGGCAGCAGCTTCATTGATGGTCAGCTGTGGAGAGGGCCACCGAAGCGGTCAGAATCCTCAGTTCCCACTGCCTTGCCCAGACCTCCTCACACCCTTCGTCATCAGACAAACAAAGCCCATCCATCAGATGCTTACTTAGGATTTGATACTATGCAGCCTTCTGAAGGAGGAAAACAGAGGTTAGCATCCCCGGCTTCCTAGGAACGCCTGGAGCCCCCACCACCTGAGCGGTCCTGAGCGGCACAGCGCGGGACGCTGGGCTCTGGCCTGTACCTCTGCTTCCCCCTCAGCCGAGGAGGGGAGCACTGCAGAGGCTGGGGTTGGGCTGTGTGGGGGCGACTGGGGCGTGGGGTCCTGACCGAGGGGCAGTGAGACAGACCTGGGGAGTGTGAACATTCTCCAAGGTGAGTAGGTTAAGGCCTCGCAGCCAAGTGCAATACTAGGAGAATGGGGTCCTCACCTCATGCAGGCTGAGCTGCTTGCCCTCCCGCCGCTTGGAGTCAAAGCGGCCATAAATGATGCTGTATTTGCGGATCTCCTCCTCCTTCTGGCTGTCGTTATCGTCCATCTCAAAGATGTGCCCCACGCTCCGAGCCAGCTTCTTGTTCAGCTTCAGCAGGGATGTCACCTCCCCAGCATCCCCCCTGGGGAAGCTCCGGAAGATCCTCTCCACACTCTCCACCACCATGCGTACCATCTCTGGTTCCAGTCGATCCGGACCACCCCCAGCCCCAGCTGCTGCCAGCCCCCCAGCCCCAGTTCCCTCAGGGACTCCTCCCCCTGCAGGTGGGGAGAAGGGGGGTGAGCCTGCCTCCTCTTCTCCTCCCGCCCCAACGTCGGATTCTGGAGTGCTCCGTCCTGGCCAGATCCGGGGGTCTCCTGCCCCAGGTCCCCCAGGCAGTGGTGACAACTTCTCTCCAAGTTCAAGGGGGCTCTTGGGGCTAAAACTGCGGGCACTGCCTGCCTTTTCCCCTGGGCTGCTGTGCCCATTGCTCATGCTTCCTTTCCGGGTGCCTGCAGTCTCGGAGATCTTGAAAAGTGGGATACTGGAGACAGGCACGGCAGGCACTGGCTGGCTGAAGAGCCCTGGATTGGTGGCCCATTCTCTCAGTGCCTTCTGCAGGCGTCGGACGTGGAGGGGCTTGGTGGCCATGCCCACGAGAGCCATGATCTCCAGGAACTCCTCCTCACCAGCCTCACACAGTTGCTGCACGTCGTCCCCTCCCTGCTGGATGAAGGTCTCGTAGTAGGAAAGGAGATTGGCGCGCTGCAGGACCCGGTAGAGCTGCAGCTCCCCCAGTGTCCGAGGCAGTGCCATGGCTCGGGCACTGGGCCTGGAAAGGAGGAGTGCAGGACAGAGAAAGGAAGGCAGTCAGTCTGGGTCCCCCTGCTGGGTACCAACCCACACTCGCCATTGTCATCTCTTTCCTGCCGGCTTCTCTTCCCCTCCTCTGAACGCGCTCTCTGCCCAGTACCCCAGCCTGAGCACAGACTAGGAGAACTAGGCATTACCCGGACGCATAAACACACCAGTGCCATCCCAGACGGGCCGCAAGTGCCAAAAGGCAGCCCATTCTCTCTGCTGAAGTCAAAGGCTCTTCACCACCATTCTCAGCTTTTACTTTTCTGGCCTGGGGCAAGAAGACCTTGAGCACTGCGGCCAGCCAGCACACCCACCCGTGGGATGGCTGGGCCTCCTTCTCCCCCAGCACGGTCTTCACCCTCCGCCCTCAACACCCAGCAGTCTCAGCATTACTCAAGGTGACTTTCTACACTGAGGTGCACGTAGGACCCCCTGTCCTCCCCACAGTGGACGCCTGGGACCACTGCTGGCCAGTTTCACTCCCTGGTGCTGTCCTACCCAGGCGGTTGCAACGGAGGGGTGTGGCCCTTTCTCACTCGGCAAGCCAGGTGGACCCCTGCTCTGCTCAGCTCCTCTGAGCTGTTCCGGAGGACCTCCCCTCTCCTCCCGACTGCCCAGTGCCCCTTAGTTGGCCCCTCTCCCAGCAGTGACCTTCCCCACCTGCTGGGTAGGTAGACCGATCCCTTCAGCTCAGGCGCAAGGAGGGAGGAGTGCCTCGATTGTTCTGCTCTGGGGCCTGTTCCGCCCCCACACACTCCCACAGTGGCAGCAGCAGTGGGCGAAACCCACCTACCTCCTCTCCCTCATTTTCCACCCACACCTCCAAAGTGGAGCGGAGGAGCGGCTCAAGGCCTCTTGAGGGAGGGGCTGCACCCCGAAACTCCCCTCCCCGTGCCGTAAATAAAGCTACAGAAAAGAGAAGGGACGCCTAAGGCATGCCCTGCTTCTCCAAAGCCCTGCTGATGCTCTCCCTTGGCTCCGAGGCGCCGGCTTCTCCCGGACCCTGGGGCTCGCGTACTTCGTACCAACGGAAGACTGAACCAGCACAGCAGCCCTCCCCCAGCCCTGTTACCAGCCAGAGCTCCAGGGCTTCCCCTGGCGTTTGGGGGCCCCCACATTCTTTGCAAGGGGTTCACATGCCAGATCACGCCGGCAGAGTAAACGGGGGATGGAGAATTAGGTACTACTCTTTCATATCCAGCTTCAACCGCTCCGTACCTGCTCCCAGGGCCCCCTAATTCGAAGACGCACCCCCTTTTCAATCAGTCTCCACCCCCCACCCCCGTCCCGCTTCCCCTCGTTCTCTCCTCGACCTCCGCCCTCCGGACCCCTTGCCTGAGTCCAGCTCCACCCATCTCCACTCCCCGCCGCTTCCTTCTGCCCACTAACTTGGGTCTGGGCTGCGGGGTCCGGCGGGCGCAGTCCCCTCCGCCCGGCGGCTGCTCGGCTGTGGGGGAGGGCGCTCTGTGCATGGACGGCCGGAGGCCACAGGGGCTGCCCCTCTCGGTGCCCAGCGCTCGGCGCCTGGCGCGCGCTGCCGTGTCCGCCGCTGGCCGGGCTCCGTCCCTCCCTCCACGTCTCCTCTCTCCGAGCCTCCGCGCCTCTGTCTGTGCCTCTGCCCCCCCCTCCCCGGCTGCGCTCGCCGCCTCTCCGCGCCGACGCCCCCGCAGGACGCACGGGGAGCGAGGCCCGGCGCTGCGCTGGCTGCCGGGCGGGCGGAGGGCGTGGGCAGCGCCGGGGGCGGGGGCCGGGGGCGGGGGGCGGGCGCCCGGGCCTCGGGGCCGGCGGTGGAGGCGCCGCGGCACAGCGTCGGAGAGAGGCGGAGACTGGGGGGAGGGGGCGTGGAGCGGGAGGCGGGGGCGGGGACTCGGAGCGGCGGCGCCGAGCTCGGGATTGAGGTGACCGAGGCCGGGCTGCGGAGGGCGGGCTTGGGGACCCGGCGGGCGGGGCGAGGTCGCTCCGTGCCGCCCACGCCGGATGCACAGCCGGCCCTCTCCGTGCCCACGTACCCACGTGAGCGCCCAGCCGGCGACATTCCTACTCCCCCCCACCCCCACCCCCCGGCTCCTACCCCTCCGAGCGGAGAGCGGAGTTTCGCAACCACGCACCGGTACACAAAAACACGGACAAGCGCACAAACGTGCACACGCGCCTCAACAACTACACGGACGCCCGCTGCCCACACTCCGGCCTCGCAGTACTGTACGTGTGACTGCTAGGAATGAGCCGGGAAAAGTTGGCGGAGCCTCGGGGTGCGCGGCTCCTTTTGGGCGTGCATCCGACTCCCCTTGAGTGTGCGCTTAGGGCAGGTCTGTGAGCGCGGGGTTCTGCAGGAATTCCTTGGCTATCCCAGCACCCTTACCCTGCAGCAAAAGGAGTCATTTGAAGGGCCATTCTCGGAAACCCAGGCCTCCATCCCTGCCTCGAGTCCCTGTCGAAGTTTGGGGTACAGGAATGGGCGGGTTAGGCTAGAAGCTAACGCGTCGATCAGTCGCGTCGGGTTGTCAGAGCATTGGTCAGGCAGGGATGGGCGAGGTACCCCTCCTTCCTCTACTCGTCGCACCCTGTTTGCTGAGAATGGGGACCTGCTCCTGGGGAATTCTGTGGCAAAGCTGGGATAGGGAGAACATCCATTCTGCGAGCGTTTTTAGGAGACTGCGCTCGAGAGAGTCTAATGGAAGATGGGCGGGAGGCCGGAGCGTCCGACGTGGCTCCCTGCGGAGGAGTTGAAGGGAGGAGCTCCTTCAAGGAGCCTAGTCCCCCTCTGGAGGCCCCCCCCTCGTTTGTTTCTCCTAGCCCCATATGGTTCCCATTACGCTCCCGCCCACTGCTGGGAGGTCGGGGTGGGGGCGGGGGCCGGCCGGGGCTCCGAGGGCCCGGTCCTGCGGTTCCAGGCCCCAACAAAATGAAGGCGGGGCGGAGGGGGAACTGAGCAGACCGGCCGGGGGTCAGGTTCTCCCTGGTCCGAAACCTCAGCCCCGCCCCGCCATTCCGCACTTCTGAGTGGCTCGGGGCCTGGCAGGGCGTGGGCGGCGTGGGCCGGGGCTGGTTCTACATTCCGGCTCAGCAAGGGGACCTTTCCGTCTCCGGTGGGGGCAAGGAGAGGGGGAGTGCATCCCTGGGTGGGATTTCGGTACCTAAGATTCTCTTCTCCTTAAGCCCCAAACGCAGTGAGGGGGTAATAGGAAAGAGCAGACAACCCCCCACCCACCCCTTCCAATCCCCAGTCCTGCAACTGGAGGGAGCGGCTAGACGGGCTTCCTTCGGGGACTCTCCTCGACCCCCTCTGAAGTGTGTGGGCACCCCCTCCCCCACTCTCCCCTGGTTATTTTGGAGCCTGGGCTGCCAGCCGCTGGCCTCGGGTTTCCACGTGCCTCCTCCCTCCCCCTGCCCACGCGCCCCGTGACGCACATCCTCCGCCCACGCAGCCTCTGTTCCAGGCGCCCCCCTCCCTCCCACCCGGGCCCCTTTGGGGCGGTGCTGAGCCCCCGGGTCCGGAGGGAGAGGCAGGCCCGGGAAAGAGGGCGGAGTAGCGAGTGAAGCCAGCGAGGGGTAACCAACTTGGGTCCCAGCCCGGGAAAGCGGACGAGGGAGGAGCTGATCAGAATCCTCCACTCTTCGGGTCTGGGGCGGGTACTCGGCCAGAGGAGGACGAAGGGAGACCGGTCCCAAGGCTTGGGCTAGCCCAGTTCCCTAGGGGAGTCAGCAGGGGGTCTCCCTGGGTGCGAACCCGTGTGGGAGAGTGAAACTCCCGAGTGTTTGTAGCTTTGTTTTTCAGGGTTGTCGTGAGGTTCAAATGAGAGGATGTATATGAAAACTCTGAAAAGTGCCAAGCAAATTTAAGACGGTATTGCTAGTTTGTGCCTCTGTATCCTGAGATAATGTATTTATATGTTTCTTTACATCGAGTTGTGTATCTGTCTCTCTCTCTAGGTTTGTATGTGAGCCCCTATGTGTGGATTTAAAAATACATACATTTAAGAAATCATTGACTTGTGAAGCCCCGCAAGAGGCCCAGAGCGCCCCCGCAGCCGGAGCTGCTGAGATGTCTGTTCTTCGCTTCCCTCCCACTCCTACCACCCCCAACTCCCCTCCTACTCCCTTCCGTTGAGAACTAGGAATTTCCAGCCTTTTGCAATTGGAGAGAGACAAAGAGACGGAGACTATGAGAAGCTATAGAAAAACAAAGACAAAAGACAGGTGGGGGGGAGGGATGATAAAAAAAAAGGTGTAGCACAAATACAAAAATCTTATTTCTTCTCTTTTTCTCCGTGAGCCTCATTATCCTCAGTGTGGATCAGGACCACTTCCCTACCTGACTCACCTGCTTCCTCCTCCCCCATCTGAGTGTTCTCAGATTACGCAGAGCACAGAAACGGATCCCATTTAATCAAGGATTAATTTATTGTCTACCCCGGTCTCTTCCAGGAAGGGAAACAGTATCCCCAGTCCCAATTTTCCAAGAACAGGGGAAAAGAGTGTGAAGAAGTGGGTGGAAGAGGAATGAGGAAATTGCTAACCAGAAGGATTGTCATTCTTGGGCACGTGTAGATTTTCATCTAGCAGATTGCACTGCTCACATTCCCCTCCCCTACGTTTTTACCAGGCCAAATCCAGTTCACTCAGCAAGGTCTGGCGCAAATGTCACCTTCCTGCACCCCCTCCCCAGGCAGAATTCATTCCCTCCATCCCTCAGAGGTCTCATGGCTCTTTGTACACCTTTCAATTATAGTTGCTTGTCTCTCCCTCAGCCCAGGACTTTTCCAGGGTAGGTGGGCTATCTGGTGGGCCCTCTGAAATGAATGCATTGATGAGGTGATTTCCCGGTCTGAGCAATCTTGAAAAGGGTGATTGACACATTTTACTCCAAAAGGGGCCAAACCTGGGCAAAACTGTTAAGTGGAGAGGTCTCCTTTCTTAAAGTTTCCAGTGAGGGTCACAAGTCTGGCTCCTTGGTCTTTGAGAATGTCCACTGTTGTGGGGCACATGGCTGGCTCAGTCAGTAGAGCATGTGACTCCTGATCTTGGGGTGGTGAGCTCCAGCACCACAGTGGGTGGAGAGTTTACTTAAATAAAAAAATAAAAATAAAATGTCCAGTGTTCTGATAAATTAATTCATACCCAGATGGGAAATGTAGAAGACTGAAATCCTTGCTAGTAACAGAAAAACATGAATATAAAATAATGATCCTCACTTTTTTTCTCTTTGTAACATGTTACAATTGTGGTCCAAGGAGTGTTGGCCTTCAGTTTAGTCATTTTACAAGAGATGCTTCACCTGGCGAAAACGAATAATCCTAACCTCTGCCTTTAAGGGGGTAGGGAGATAGTGCAACAATAGGGGGCGCCTGGGGGACTCAGTCTGTTAAGTGTCTGCCTTCGGCTCAGGTCATGTTCCCGGGGTCCTGGGATTGAGCCCTGAATTGGGCTCCCTGCTGAGCAGGAAGCCTGCTGCTCCCCCTGCTTGTGCTCCCCCTCTCTCTGTCAAGTAAATAAATAAAATCTTTTTTAAAATTCCAATATATTGTCCCCTACTTTTATAAAATACACTAAACGTGAATTATTAGAAAAGTGAAATAAATCCATATTTTTATTAGATTCAATAAATATAAAAATTCTCTTTCGAACTGGGAGAAAAGTTTCTAAATGTTTACACTTAATTTCTGAAATGCTTTCATTGCAGATTGGTATCAAACTATGAACAGCACAGTTGTAGTTAGTTTCTTTTTTTTTTTTTTAAGATTTTATTTATTTATTTGACAGAGACACAGCTAGAGAGGGAACACAGCAGGGGGAGTGGGAGAGGGAGAAGCAGGCTTCCCGCCAAGCAGAGAGCCCGATGTGGGGCTCAATCCCAGGACTCCGGGATCATGACCTGAGCCAAAGGCAGACGCTTAACAACTGAGCCACCCAGGCGCCCCAGTTGTAGTTAGTTTCTTTACATCTGTGTTTTAGATCATACTAAGAACCCTGGGCTTCATCACTGGAGATACTAGGGAATCATAAAGACTTTGAAATATGGGAGTGACACAGGCAGATCTGCATTTAGGAGGAGTGTGGATGAAGGGTTTTATGGTTGCAAAAACAGCAGGGAAGCCAGCTTGGATGAAACTAAAGTGGTCCAAGTGAGAGGTGGCAAGGTGTATTCAAATAGCCAAAATAGCTGGGCTTCTAGCTTGGGTGACTGAATAGATGGAATGGAGTATCTTCATCAAATATTTATGGTGTGCAATCCTTTTCCTAAACCAAAAAAAAAAAAAAAAAGTATGAAAACCAAAACTTTTTATTAACTCATTTGACATCACAACCTAATCTGACCTGAACTATTTGTGGCAGACCTCCTAAACTTGTATGAAGTTATTTATAGTTCCATCTATCTCACTTTTGTTTATCCCAGTGTGAATATTTATGTCTCAATGCGGAAAAATTAATTTGTTTGATTACAGGGTGCAGTCCTAGGCCCCATTGGGATTGTTGCTTTATATGTTGTATATGCACCATATTACTTTTCTAAAATCCAAAAATATTCTAAAACACATTTACTATCCAGATTTCCCACCCCATTTACTCAACAGTCTTGGCCTGAGTTTTTGGTTATTTGCATACATCAGATCCACCTGCAGATAATGAATATTCATTGCATTGTGTGCTATAGACTCTGAAGATGATTCTTTTTTTAAAAAGATTATTTATCTATCTATTTATTTTTAAAGATTTTATTTATTCATTTGAGAGAGAGAGAGGGACAGAGGGAGCACAAGCAGGGGGAGAGGCAGGGAGAGAGGGAGATACAAGACTCCCCGAGGAGCCGGGAGCCCGATGTGGGGCTTGATCCCAGGACCCTGGGACCCACTGGAGCCACCCAGGTGCTCCTTAAGATTTTATTTTTAACGGGGCACCTGGGTGGCTCAGTCGTTAAGCATCTGCCTTCAGTTCAGGTCATGTAAGCATCTGGCTCTGGCTCAGGTCATGATCCCAGGGTCCTGGGATCGAGTCCCACATCGGGCTCCCTGCTGGCGGGAAGCCTGCTTCTCCTTCTCCCACTCCCCCTGCTTGTATTCCCTCTCTCGCTGTGTCGCTCTCTGTCAATTAAATAAAATCTAAAAAATTTTTTTATTTTATTTTATTTTATTTATTTATTTGAAAGAGAGAGAATGAGAAAGAGCACATGAGAGGGGGGAGGGTCAGAGGGAGAAGCAGACTCCCCGCCGAGCAGGGAGCCCGATGCGGGACTCGATCCCGGGACTCCAGGATCATGACCTGAGCCGAAGGCAGTCGCTTAACCAACTGAGCCACCCAGGCGCCCTAAAAAAATTTTTTTTATTTTTAAGTAATCTCTATATCCAATGTGGGACTCAAATTTACTGCCCCAAGATCAACAGTCGCATCCTCTACTGACTGAGCCAGACTGGCACCCCCTGAAGATCATTCTTAAAGTGTTTTGAGCAGTGTCCTCATGATTAAAATAAGGCTAAAAACTTGTTGTGTGACTACCTTGAAGGGACAGAACTTTTTTGGATGGTAAGGTGGAATGCGTTTATAGACAATACAGTCTCATTACTATATATCTTCTTTGTACATGTCAAAAGTCAGTGGTCAGTGATCTGGAATTAGTTCCCAAATTAGTTCCTCTGTTCTCTGGCCTTTATTCAAAACCAGAGTGAGCTCTGAATGGTGACAATTTGGGGCCTGGTAGAAAATGAAGGGGTGCGTGTATGTGTGTGTGTGCATGTGTGTGTATACAACTTTATTTTTTAAAACTTTTGGATTTACAGAAAAATTGAGAAGATAGCATAGAGAGTTCCCCTATACCCTATATCTAGTTTCTACCATTGTTGCCCTACATCAGTATGGTACATTTGCCACCATTAATGGCCCAGTATTCACGTTATTACTAATGAAAAGTTGACAGTTTATTCAAATTATCTGAGTTTTTACCTAATATATATATTTTTTCTATTCCAGGATCCCATTCATGATACCATATTACACTTAGTTCTTTTGTCACCTTAGGCTCTTCTTGGCTGTTATAGGTTCTCGGTCTTTCCTTGTTTTTGATGACCTTGATAATTTTGAGGAGTACTAGTCAGGTATTTTGTAGTTTGGCCCTCTATTGGAATTTATTTATTTATTTTTCTCATGATTAGGTTAGTTTTATGGGTTTGGGGGAGGAAAACCACAGACATAAAATGCTACTTTCATTGCATGACATCAGGCATACATAGTACCAATGTGATTTATTACTGTTGATATTGACTTCTCCGGGTCAGCCAAGGGAATGTGTGTGAGAGAGACACAGGATGATACTGCAGCAGGGGTAGCCTAGACTTTTCTTTTTGAGGATGAAATTTCTTCTCCTGCCCATAGCTCAGACCCATTTTGACTCTTTAAATATACCTTGTTTTGAAAGCTTGAACCTTCCTCAGCAGTAACCTCCTTTCCTGAATTTCCTCTCAATTCACTGGGCTCCACGATCTCTAGTGCTCCTACCCACCACTATCAGATCCTCTAAAAAAATAAGATGCTTCAATTTCTACTAACATTAACTGAACACCTGTTTATGTGCCAGGCACTCTTCTAGGTCCTCACTGTGTTAAATCATTTAACGGGAAGCAGCCTGATGCATAGAAAGAACTCAGGCTTTTGGGTAAGACTTGGGTTGAAACTGCAAACCAGCCCAATTAACTATGCAATCTTGGGCAGATTTTTTGTCTTAGCCTCGGCTTCTTAAATGGAGATATTTGTCTCACAAGATGCTATAAGGAATAAAAAACTTTCTCCTAATCCTCACGTTCATTTCACTTCCAACCCTCCCATCCCCATGGGTACCTGGCTGGATCAGTCTAAAGACCATGCAACTCCTGATCTCAGGGTCGAGTTCAAGCCCCACCTCGACTGTAGAGATTAAAAAGTAAAATTTTTAAAAATGAAATGAAATGAAATAAAATAAAATAAAAAATTACCCCCCCAAACCCTATGCTTACATTTTTATTTTATTTTTTAAAAATTTATTATTTTTTTTAGTAATCACTACACCTAATGTGGGGCTCGAACTTACGACGCCGAAATCAAGCGGTGCGGAACCAGCCACGCACCGCCCTAGGCCTACATTTTTAAATGCTAATGTTTATTCCCATAAAATACACAATTTTTTGTGTGTGACTTGTTTTAAATCATATAGGACTTTGGAGGACAGGTCTTAAAAAAAATTGTCCCGTCAGGGACTCCTCCCATAACAAGAAGATCGTGGTAAAAAGGAA